GAAAATAAGTGAGTGTACTTAGCTCGATAACTTAGTGAGCTCATCTTTATTCTTAATATTGATAGCCGAAATTCCTTCATTCCGTCTTAAATATATCCTGCCATTAGAAGTCCAGATAAATTTGTAATTGAGTTCCTTCTTAGTTTTAAGGCAATATTTCAATAATTCTTTATTCTTTTCAGTCAGACTTTCGTTAATATAGATGGGACTTGAGACCCTATATCCAAGATCACGAGTTGACTTATTTTTTAACTTGTTTCGGGATCGAAAGAAAACTTCTTTGACATCTCTTCGAATGAATTTCACAATTATAGCTGGTGTTGACCTATTCCTCTTATATCTCTTGTTAATAGGCAAACGGTGATTTTTCGGAACATAACACAAATTTTCGAAAAATCACAAAATTTTCCCAAAAATTGACTTCATTTTAGACAAAATTGACAGAATTTGTCCCTTTTTTTTATTACAAACCAAAATTGCCCGACTGTTGATTGAATATTGCCCGACTGCCCAAAAAACTGGGGGGGCTACCGCCCCCCCCCCCGCCCCCCCGCCCGGTTCGCCTATGACGGTGACTTACAGATAGATCCTCCCGAACAATCTCAACATTGTTCAGGAGGATTTTCATTTAGATAAGGATTTTCGATTAGGTTTTAGATTTTTCTCAACATTTTTCAGGAGGATTTTCATTTAGATTAGGATTTTCGATTTTAGATTATGATTTTCAGAAGTGTGTTCATTTAGGCAAGCTAGGGAAGCCGCTATTTTGGCTTATGACTCTCAAGATAAAAAAAAACCGAATTACCGTACCAAATCTACGCGAGTTTTTTGAATTGGACAACATCGATGAAGCTGAATGCGAGGTTCAATTTCGTTTTAAAAACCATGGAGTTCCTGCTCTTGCTCGTACAATGGATGTGCCTGGACGATTCACATGCCCACAAGGAACTATTTGCAACGGAATGGAGGCTCTGTGCATGCTGTTGCGGCGATTTTGCTACCCGTGTAGGTATAGTGACTTGGTTTCGATGTTTGGCAGACCCGTCCCAGAGCTAAGTATGATTACATACCAGGTTGTGGATTTTATTTATGACCAACATGCTCACAGGCTAACACAGTGGAACGACCAGTTGCTGAGTCCTCAATGCCTTTGAAGATATGCCGAAATAGTGGCTCGTAAAAGGGTGCATTGGCGAATTATCAGACTGCATTATAGTATTAGCTGAATGGCCTTATCTTTTTAAGTCTATATTCTACCGTCGATATATTGATGATTGTTTTCTTATTTTCACATCACGTGACCATGTTACTCCTTTCCTATCTTAACTCGAAACACCCCAAAATAATATATTTATACATAATATATAAATCCTTTATTGTAAATAGTTATCTATATGTTTTGTTAGTTGTCTATATTGTCAATTTTGTCAATTTGAACAGTTAGATTATTTCTATTTTCTTTTATTTGATTCCATAAGAGTCACAACAACACTTATATATAATAACGTTTGAACACACGCCCTTCGTGGAAATCAATATTTTTAATTGACGTAGTTAGCGTGTCAAAATAAAATCCATCGATCTATCTATCTATCTATCTATCTATCTATCTATCTATCTATCTATCTATCTATCTATCTATCTATCTATCTATCTATCTATCTACATTCAATTTACTCATGAGCTTGAAAGTAATTCGTGCGTTCCTTTTCTAGATGTCAAGGTCATTCGATCTAACGGTTCTTTCGCTACCACGGTTCATCATAAATCTACTTCCACCGGATTGTTTACCGATTTTGAAAGTTTTATTCCAATGCTGTACATGAAAGGTTTACTTTTCTCTCTTATTTCTCGTTATTTCAACATTTGCTCTTCTTATGTATTTTTCCATTCTGAAATGGAAAAATTCAAGAAAACGTTCTCTCTTAATGGTTATCATGCAACACTTGTGGATAGTTGTATCAAATCATTTCTTGATTGTTTTTCATCCCTTCCTCTTATTCGCTTATTGTTGAATAATGTAACGGTTAAAATTTGTATATGTATATATATATATATATATATATATATATATATATATATATATATATATATATATATATATTATATATATATATATATATATATATATATACATATATATATATATATACATATATATATATATATATATATATATATATATATATATATATATATATATATATATATATATATATATATATATATATATATATATATATATATATATATATATATATATATATATATATATATATATATATACACGCTTGTAGGCTAAATAGGTTTAATTACTCTGAAGATGTTGTGAACAATACAACGAAACGTTAGCCAAGAAATTTATATTTTTGTTATGTCTTGTCTGAAAGTCATTTGCTGAGCTTTAATTTTCATTTTTAAATCAGAATTACTTAATTTCTAGTACCTACTATTGTTTGGAGTGCTCAGAAAATGGACGTGTTTCATGACAGAGAACTGTTTCCTTATTTTAGATAATTAGAATATTGTTGTAATATATTAATTCATTGTTTAATTTTAAAAAAATTATAATAGTGTTATGTTTCCATTATAGTGTTATTTAGTTTTGAATTATCCGCGGATTATAAACAGATTTTGAACAATCTAACCCAAAGGTTTGGCCGTGAGGCTGCACTTTCCTTGCGTTAGTAACTTTTAGTATTTTAAAATTACTTGACCAATGGAATCATAAGATGGGTCATTTTTTAAGTACGATAAAACATTCGCATCCGATCTGTGTCTGATATACAAACTCTCGCCTTCGGCTCGAGTTTGTATATCAGATACAGATCGGCTGCTCATGTTTTATCTATAGTACTTAATAATGTTTGTAAAAATTTGGTTTAATTAACTCATTAAGTATTTAGTTAAGTATTTTAAACATATTAACATTTGTTGCTAAAACTTCACTCGACGACAGCTTATTTGGAAACAAAATTGAAATATAGGACCAGGATTTACAGAAATACAGGACCAGGATTTAATTATCAATAGCCAAAGAAACAACAAATTAAAGAACAAATGAACATAAATACATGAACTATTTTATTGTTAAAACGTTATATTAAACACTGGCTACACTGCAGTTACTTAAAGCGAAAGTTTTATTTACGTACTAGGCATGTCCAAAGGTCGCATCTTCACGTGATGGCGCACGTGATTTTTTTTTGTTATTCGCCGGTCGATAACGTATTATCTCCCTCTCGCGCTGTTGCGAGGGAGACAGCTTAATTTCGTCACTCTCACGTGATATGCTCTCAACCAATAAAACACTAGAAAAATGCGACTTTGACTATTGATATATCATAATACAATATCTCCTGAGAACATTAGCTTCCTTTGATATTGTTCACTGGCGAAATTGCCTGCTATGTTTTGTCTGTTTAAAATATTACATCATGATTGTTTTACTGTATAAACGTTTTTGTGAACTAATTAAGTTGACAATAGGGTTAAGAGATATTTCGATATTTTGATTTATCACGATATTTTCAATCGCGATTATCGTATCGAAGGTAGAACCTTGAGTGACGATATATCGAAATTATCGCCATGGTCGATGACTATCGTAATATTGCTAAAAATTAAAATTCTTTCAATTCCTAGTAAATATAGTTTTAAAAGATTTAAAACTATTACCTGAATTAAATACGAATTCAATACGATGGGCGTCTTGTTTCCATACAATTTCTCGTTTTCCCAATTCCATTCGTATTGATATAATGTCTCGATCAATTCCACGGGTGCCCAACAACTCCCCCCCCCCCGGCGTTTGTCGGGCATTTTCAACTGTACTTGTTCCCAGGGTCGGGCATTTGCTTTCTGCAGGTTAGGCCCGGGGTGAGGAATTTGCTCAGCGCTAAAAAGTTAAATATTTGTCGCTTGTTTTGCCATTTAGCCGTATATTAGTACCCAACGCATGCATGCACGTTTACACGTGCGTGCTTATATATTGCGAATTAATCATGGCGGAAATACACACTTTAGATTTTTTTCTTGTCCATTCTGTTCATACATTGACTTCAATATTTCAATTAAAAACGTTTTGAAACGAAATGGCTACGGAATCGATTTTTCATACAGATACGTTGATACGTGATAAAGCTTGCATTCGATTTTTTGCATCGGAAATCATCAGAAAACTTATATTTTGTCCCGCAAGGGTGGGGAATTTGCGTCAATGCAAGTCCCCAAGGGTGGAGATTTTGTTGCATTATTTGGACCCCATGATGGGGGCATTTGCAACATTTTTTCGCCAAAATTACAAATGCCCGACAAACGGCCGGGGGGAGGGGGACGGACACCCATGGAATTGATTGAGACACAACTGTATATCAACACGGAAAATGTTTTATTTTTGTTAAATTAATGTAATAAAAATATGTGGTATTTGACTGATACATACATACATACATACATACTTTATTGTGTTCCCTAAATAGGGATTTTCAACACTGATTTACAAAAAAATAAATGTTGTTCTATTTACAAGTTTTAGAATCTAGAATTTAAATTAAGGTAAAAAGGTAAGACATTTGTATAAAGTTTAACAAGGTAAAATTATCTACTTATATATTTGTTCTAGCATGCTTCGCTTCAGTTCGTTTTTGAAAGTTTTTAGGGAGTCTAACTTTTTATACTTTATGTCCAAATCATTCCAGAGTGTAACGCCTCTATAATGAAAGGACCTTTGACCTGCGGAAGTTTTGTACAATGGTATTTGCAGTGAGTCATGGCTACGTGTATCTCGTTGATGAATGTCAGAACGTTTTGTGAATAAATCGCTCAAATAATGTGGGGCAAGTTCATTGACACATTTGTACATCATAATAGCCTCTCTTAGTAGTAATTGTTCCTTTACTGGGAGCCAGTTAAGTTCGCGTAAGCCCGGCGAAATATGGTCGAACTTTCCAATATTTGTTATTATCCTGCATGCAAAATTTTGTACCAACTGTAGTTTCTTAATGTTGGTAGACGAAGTGTTTGACCAAACCGTTGAAACAATAGAACATTTTGTTCATTACAAGTGCCGAGACGATGAGAGTTAAAGCTTCTTTATCGAAACATTTTTTGACTCGGTTTATTTGGCACAGGGAATTCATACATGAGGAAACCAGGTTGGTGATGTGCTGGTCATATGTCAAATAAGAGTCGATTGTCATAGTGAAAGATAGTAATATCTTGGAGTCGTCCACGTACGATTCAAGTTTACTATGGTGGACTACTGATGAGGGCAAATCGTTAGTATAAATACTAAAAAGTAAAGGTGATAAAATTGCACCCTGTGGTACACCATAAGAAACAGGGAGAGGAGTAGACACAGTTGATCCAATTCTGACTGATTGAGTTCTTCCGGTCAAGTAACTCTCAAACCATTTTACAACGCTTGGAGAAGCCCCGACGTTGCTAAGTTTTGTAAGGAGAGAAGTATGATTTACACTGTCGAAAGCTTTAGATAGATCTATTAGAATCAGTGCAGTAACCAATTTCCCATCCATGGCCTTTAGGATAGTATCTCCGGTCAAAAGATTCAATGTTTCGCATGAGTGATGTTTCTTGTTCCCGCTCTGGTGGGTTGACAATTTTTTGTTCTTCATTAGATACGAACCAAATTGATTCAAGGCGACTTTTTCACAAATTTTCGAAAGAAAGGTAAGGAGAGAAAGTGGGCGGTTATTTGATGCTTCCTCGTGGTTTCCATCCTTTAACAAAGGGATAACTTCTGCCTCTTTCCATGCTATAGGGAACGAAGATGACGACAGTGAACAGTTAATGATATCGGTGAGGGGCCCAAGAATTACCGGTAGGCTGTGTTTGATGACACGCATACTCACTTTGTCTTTGCCGGGTGATTTGTTTGACGGCATAGCTAATATGATGTTCCTTATTTCTGAACAAGAGACTGGGGTGAAACTAAATCTATCATTTTCTTCAGGGTAGCTGTTATCTGTGCGATTTACGTCAGAAAGATTCCGAGCTGGATAAACACTAGGATCTTGTATTAGTGTTGAGGCTTTCTTTGCTGCATTCACACCGATGGTGGAAAAGAAATGATTAAACTCTTCGGCCACTAATTTCGGTTCCTTACTGTAGACCACTGACTGATAATAATTACGTGTTTTCCTGAAAAGACTGTGGAGCTGGTCTCTTTTGATCATGGATGCTTTTATTTCCGGGGTGATAAATGGGCAAGATTTTCCGCGTACTTTTATGGTCTTTACTGGGGCGTGTTTATCCAATGTATTTAAAAATATTTCATTAAAAATGGTTAGTTTTTCATCAACATTGTCCATTCTGAAAATGGAAACAAGACGATCACGGTTGGATGCCAGATCGATCGCGAACAAATCAGGGTCGTATTTATTGTAGCTGCGGGTAGTGATATAGTTTGGTGGAGATTTGTCGGTTTTAAGTTTTAGTGATACATACACAGGGAAATGATCGCTGATACAGGTTTCTATGACGCCACTGTTGACTACTAGTCTTGGCGAGGATACGAAAATAACGTCGACGAGGGTCTGACTGGATTCAGTAATTCTTGTTGGTGATTTTATTAACTGGTTAAGGTTGAGTTCTTTTGTCGTCTTGATCAAAGACGCTGATCCAGGTGTGGGCTTAAGCATATCGCAGTTTAGGTCTCCAAGAAGAATGATCAACTTTCCCATCGTCAGAGCATGAACATAATTAGGTTTAAAATATTTTTCGAAGCAGTCAAGCGGGCTGTCTGGGCGTCGATAAGAGACACTGACCAACAGTGATTTAGATTTTTTGTGCTGTAATTTGATCCATAATTGATGGAAATTCGTCTCGGAGATATAACTGAGGTCTTTAAGTACAAGAGATTTAATATCTTTTCGTATGTAAGCACATACCCCGCCCCCTTTCTTGTGCAGTCGGTCTAAACGATGTAGCTTATAACCTTCGATTTCTATTTCCTGGTTTGTGACGGAGGTATTTAACCATGTCTCTGATACTGTAAGGACGTCAATTTTGTTAAATTTGGTAAACTTACGTAATTCTAAAAAATGGGCGTTATTTTTCAGAGAGCGGATGTTTAGATGGACCAGTTTGAGACCTGGAAGGGTACTGAGGCTGTTATCTGACTTTTTTGTTAAATGGGCTGAGGCCGTATCATTAGTGGTTTTCGACGTGAATGACCACGAGAGTGCGGAAGCGTTTGGAGAGGCAGGGTTGGACAAAGGAACACGAACAAGATTTCTATTTTGCAAGTTATTGTTAATACTAGAAGAATTATTAATGGTTTGTTGATATGATAGTCTCTGACGTGATGGTCTCTGACGTGAAGTGATTCTAACAGGTATTTTCATCATATTGTCTGCTGCTGACTCGTCAAACAGGCCACTGTGTGGAGATGGGCCAACCACTCTAGAGAGTGGTGGCGGTGGGCTGTCCGATACGAAGGAATGACACGACAACGTTTTAAAAAAGGATACCGGCTACAATGGTGCCTTCGAAACCCTAAGGGGTTTGTAACTTGACCGTGTCTAAGACTTGAGGGTCTCGAGGCTGGAAGATGAGGGGACGAAGAATGCTTTAGATTTGACTCACTGATTGACCTATCCGATCGGGGATTCACCTGGTCAGGGTTAAGGGCATCAAGGCTTAACACGGTTTTTGCATAGGATCGGTCGCAATTCCTACATATGCCTTGCTTCCCACGTTGCTTGAAATGTTGACACCCATCGGATAAATCCTGCTCACGCTGATCTAATTCATTTTCGTCAAAAGTGAGGTTTGCAGAAACATCTTCGATTATACTTAGATCTTCGCATAAGGGCAAATAGTTTAAGACATTCTTAGCCTGAAAAGGCTCGCGGTTCAGGCTTAATGAATAATCTTTTTTGAAGGAGTTGATTGTAGTCTTAGATTGTTGTGTGGATAATAGGGCATTGTTCTTTATTTCAATGATAACTGTAGGGAAACTTTCCTCAGCGGGCAGGTTATCTACATTAACTGGGGTTGATAATGCACCAGATAGGTGATTTATTTTAGTTGATCCATCGTGTTGGGGATTTACATTGTCAGGACTGTTAAAGGACTTCTTATCTTGTAAAGATGGCTTTGAGGGACTTGAAAAGGTTATGGAAGCCGAGTCTTTAATCATCATTTTCTCCTCTAGGAGAAATAGGAGTAATGCGTGACTTTAAATTCAAATTCTCGTTTCCTAATCGGCACAGCTCTTGTTTATTTGTGTCAATAATATGATTTTGTTCAGACACTTTAGTCAACAATTTTTCTATTTGCGATTCTATTTTTTCTTTAAATGTAAGGAGTTGTGCCTCGGCTATAGTCGGGATACCATCAGCTCGTTGTTGAAATGGTGTAGAAAAGCTGGCTGTCTGAGCAAAATTCGGCGTGGCTGCGACATTCGTAATATAATATGCGCTATCAATGAAGTCCTCAAGTTCTTCGAGTGACGAAGTGTCAGCAGTCGATTCAAACCCCATATCTTTGGCTTGAGTATTGTACGAACAATTGTGAGTTAAAGGGGCCATGTCCTCGAACACACGGCCATTACCAACGATATGTTCGCCTTCGACCGACATTTTTGTAGTTGTTTGGATTAAACTATCCGAGGTCGTATTTGTTTGCTTAATAACGCAATTTTTGTCTAATACGCTCACTAGAAATTCCTTGAAAGATTTGACTTTCTTTCCATTGAAAGTCAAAGAGTTTTGTTTGCCCGGGTACCAAGTCATAATAAAATCAGAGCTTAAGTTTATAAACTGTTTGGCTTTACCGCCAGGCGACGTCCATTTACCCGTTAATCCGACAACATACTATACTAGATTTTATGCACGAGTATTGCACGTGATGCCGGTCACATGAAAAAACACAATGAACCATTTATGAACAATGCACAATTAATAGCGTAATTTAATTAAGATGACACAATGTGAGTGACACTGTCAGGAAACAGTTAGTAAGTTGACAATGGTTAGTGAGAGCGAATGCGTCTATCAATAACTACGCACGAGGGCGCACAATATTCTTAATATATATGTGATAAAAAGAAACCTTGTTGTTGACTTGTTGGTGTCAGTGATATCGATATTCTTCTGTTGAGCTATTACACCGATGGCCCCGACGATCCTGCTGTATTGGTCAGAACATAACCGAGAAAAGGGGTCGTGTAACGGTAGTATATATACTTGAGTTGTGGTTAGAACTCCACAACTGGACTATGTGGCTCTGGTGCATGATTTAGCGCAGTATCGAGAAACTGCAGGGCCGTAGGTTCCGTTCCTGCCAAATGAGGTATAGTTACAGGTGTTTCTGGTTAGATCTACATATCAAATTTACACTCAACAATGTCCATCTCCAAAACCCTTTAATTCAATTCAATTCAATTTATTAATTATTCACCCAAAATATATACAACACATTTAATAAATAATAAAGAAACATATGAATGGGTGAAGAGCTAACTGTAATAACCATAACTGGGCTAATCTAGACAGTTAGCTATTCACAGGAATTATCTTATGAATATGTAAAGCACTGGATCGGAGAATTGATAATAAATTAGTATACATAAAAAAGATAATAAATAATAATATAAGGAAAGATAGACCACGTCCTCAAAAGTTGGACAATATTAAAAATAAAATATAAGTATGGATAGATAAACTGTCAAAAACCGGAGAGTAGGAGAAAATTTCTAAATAAATTATTAAATAGGATTAAAGGAATATTTAAATTAACTTAGCATGCAGCTCAACTAAGATTACTATACTGTTGAATTATATCATTTTTCAAATCCACTTTGAATCCAATTTTTGTAAGTTTTTTAGCGGATTCACTGAGCGAATTCCAAGTCTTTGCTCCAATAAACCTTATATTAAATTTTCCATAATTGGTCCTAATTTTTGGAATTGAATATGATGACCCAGAGGCAAGTCTTGTATCATGGCTATGTTTTATGTCTAGAAAAAATGTGTCAAATGATGTTGGCAAGATTCCATAATGGAAATCGTACATAAACATAGCAGTAACTAAGTGAACAAGGTCATACATCTTAATAATCTTCAGTTTTAGAAATAAGGGATTAGTATGATCGTTATAATCTGAAAATGCGATTAACCTAACGATCTTTTTTTGTAAAATAAAAAGTGAATTTAATGTAGTATGATAGGTATTACCCCAAGTGATCAAACAATAAGTTAAATATGGATACACCAAAGCATAGTAAAGGCTTTTAAGAATTTCCAGATTAACAAAGTGACGAACTTTTGAAATCGCACCAATGTTACGTTTAATTTTCTTTGAGACTTGAGAGACATGATCCCTCCAATTTAAGTGGCAATCTATAACTACGTCTAAGTATTTGGTTTTGTACTCGCGTTTTAAAGATTCATTATTTAAAATCACCCGAAAACTATCACCTGTCTTTTTCTGCATTGGATGGAAAATAACAAAACTAGACTTTTCAACGTTAAGTGACAATTTATTAGCACATAACCATGTACTAACACATTTTATTTCACTATTGATGCATGACTCCACCTTCGACAATTTCTTATCAGTATAAAAAATATTAGAATCGTCTGCAAACAAATGAAAATCTAAAATTTTGGAACAGTTATGGAAGTCGTTTATATATAATAAAAAAAGAATAGGACCCAGGACTGAGCCTGTGGTACTCCACAAGTAATACCCAGCATCGCGGATTTGACACCGCCCATAGAAACAAACTGTTTCCTATTATCTAAATAAGATTTAAACCAATCATTTGCCATGCCACTAATTCCATAATATTCAAGCTTTTGTAATAGAATTTGGTGGTTCACTGTGTCAAATGCCTTAGATAAGTCCAGAAAAATTCCACAAGAATAATTGCCATCCTCGATCGCATTTGAATTTTATCTATTATGGAAAGAACTGCATGCAGCGTAGAATGATTCGACCTAAAACCAAACTGCTTTTCATACAATAAATTATGTTTAGTAATAAAGTCTTTGAGCCGTCTACAGACTAATCTTTCTAGAAGTCCATTAAAAATTGAAAGTAATGAGATGGGTCGATAGTTATTAAGAATAAGTTGTGAACCTTGTTTGTGAACCGGAATAACTCTAGCAATCTTAAATTTATCAGGGAGAGTGCTAGAAGAAATAGAACAATTAAATATTGTTGCTAAGGGTATAGATATATGTTCTTTTATTAATTTCAATATTTTTACTGGCACACTGAATGGACCACTACCCTTTGAAGTATTAAGGTTACTTATTTCTTCAGCAATTTCGTTTACACTAATTGAATTTAGAAAAAAACTATTAGATTGTCTTGATGCTGGCATAAAAGACAAAGGATATACACTTGTTGCTGGAATATTATTAGCAAGATTATTACCTATATTAGTAAAAAATGCATTAAAAGAATTTGCTATTGAATGTGTATCTGTTATTGCATTATTGTCAACAACAACCTTAGATGGTATACTATTCCTCAAAGGCTTAAAATAAATTATTTCTTTGATCCCTTTCCAAATGTTATTGATATGTGATTTATTATGTCTAAAGTAGTTATTATAATAATTAATTTTGCTAATTCGTATAAGATGATTTAATTTATTTCTATACAACTTAAATTTGGAATGATAATAAACTGATTGCGATTTGATAAACTTCTTGTAAAGTTTATTTTT